AAAATTGAAAATTCAGTTTAAAAAACTGAGAATTAAAAATCAAACAGAATTAAGTCTTAACAGAGAAGTCAAATGCCGTCTGTGTTTTCACTGAAAGTTGTTGTTTTCTCTTTAGTGGTGGGTCAGATACAGCGGTCATATCTTCATACACTCATAACCAGGTGAGAGTCTCTGTACATACACACCTCATTATGCAGTCAATGAAATCGAAAGCCTGTGGATTTACTCTGGTTGTGTGTGTCAGCGGTCTGCTGGTATGGCGTCAGGTTCTGGTGGCGGTGTGGAGAGAGTGAGAAGAGAAGCTCAGCTGGCGGCACTGCGGTACGAGGAAGAGAGACAGAAAACAAGACCAGTGCAAAGAGACGCTGTTATGAATTACGTCAAGGTACTGACACTCACACAATTTATTATAAATGCATTAGCCAAATAGAGTGCTGCAGCGCTGATGTATTTTTGTAGGTCAGCCCAGAAATTAGCATCACACTGGTTCCCTCGACTAAAACCCAATAGGATTTTTCCAGTGGCTTTTGAGCTATTGCATAAAATAGGCTCTGTGACCAAGAAAAGTTTATGATTCTTATATTCTTCATTCATCATGATAATCTTCACAAATTAACACAACCTTTATGAATTTTGAAGCCTAAATACAGTTGGCAGAGGTAAAAAGCTAAACGTAGGCTATAAACGAATTATACCACAGTCACATGACTTTTGCGGGTTAATCCGACAACTTTTTCAGTACTTATTTAAAAGCCATTTTCTTTAAAGTTTGAGTTAGAATAGTTTGCAAGAGCGTGATTATAAACACAACAAGGCTGTAAAAGCAGACTAGGAAGTAAATGAGTTTACCTGTTCTGTGTTATGATGTTTAATGTCCCTGATAACCTCTGTAGTCCCATTTAGACACTTGTTAGCAACCGCTTAGGTAAAAACCTTAGAAAGCAACAGTAAGTGCATCATCCCAGCAGCACTGTAAAGCTAATAAGGGATAGTTCATCCAAAAATGAAGATTCTGTCACCATTTACTCACCCTCAAGATGTTCCAAACCTTTATGAGTTTCTTTCTTCTGTTGAACACAAAAGAAGATATTTTAGATAATGTTGGTAACCAAACATTTGACGGTAGCCATTGACTTCCATAGTATGGAAAAATGACTATGGAAGTCAATGGCTACTGTCAACTGTTTGGTTACCAACATTATTCAGAATTTCCTCTTTTGTGCTCAACAGAAGAAAGAAACTCATTGGTTTGGAACAACTTGAGGGTGAGTAAATGATGACAGTTTTCATTTTTGGGTGAACTATCCCTTTAAATCTTGCTTTAGGCTACTAAAAGTTTGCCAATAGTTAACAATTTAATGCCGTTTAGTGTAATTCAAGTTACAGCAAAATACATCAAGATGCTCTGAAGGGTGAAATTTGATCTTTAGCATCCAAATCCTGATCAAAAACTCTCCCCAGATTTGCCTGGTGATGTTTCTAGAGATGGGAAATCAGTTTTCTGTCTTTGTATTTTCAGCACAAGTCATCTCGGAGCCCTACGAAGCTCAGTCCAACAGACAGTGAGGTGAGTCTCTTCTTCAGATTTGCACAATCACCTCCTCCCTATCCATCACTTCATCCTGCTGTGTGTGTGAATGTGAGTGTGTGGCTCTGTAGTCATATGCATACTGTCCCACCCCAGAATCTGTACCCCTCCAGACGGTCCACTCACACAGATGACTCCGCCCTCTTCATGGTAAGAGCCAATCAGCTCGGATCATGCGTCACCCTCTGCCCCATCTCATTTCACTTGTGTTCACTTCTCTTAACAGATTTCACTATTAATCTTTGCATAATGTATTAACATGATTTAAGTTTTTTTTCTATTGGAAACTGCTTTTGTGATCTGTTTGAACTGCTGGCATCCTTTTAAAGTTGCACTCAGTAATTAAAAAGTTTACTCAAATAATTTAATTGTCCTTGTATGGTTCAAATGATGTCTTCTAGTGGCTAGACTGTTTTATTATATTATGACCAGCCTTATCTTACTATTTACTATTAAAACTTGCTGTGTGCACCTTTAATATTAGATCGGCTTTTCCCAGCGAGCATCTTTAACACGCCTGCCCTGCTTCTTTTTGCTTCCCTGTCTGTTCTCTTCATCTTCTCTTCCTGTCTTTCTCTTTCTCTCTGTCATGTTGGTTCTCTGTCAGAGTGAGTTTGAGCCCCTACTGATATTTGAGATAGACACAGATACCAACACTATAAAGAAGAGGCCAGACCCTCACAAACAGGTGAAAGACGCACAGACATGTTTAGCCAGCTGTCCAAATGGGGACTTGCCATACACTACTATTGATTAATGGTGTTTCACAATTAGTAGTGTTGCTCATGATTAGGGTTAGGCAAGGCAAGTTTATTTATATGGCACATTTCATGCACAATGGTGGCAAAATAGCTAAAAGCGGACTTCCCTTGATTTGAGTGAACCCTTGATTTTTCTAACTGACTTGATCCTAATGATCTGTTTATAATCAGTGAGCATTTCTGCAATGTATTGAGATCCTAGACCATTTAGTGATTTATAAACAAGTAATAATACTTTAAAATCAATCCTAAATGTAACTGAAAGCCAGTGTAAAGACCTGAGGTTTATTCATAGGGATATGAATAAACCCCAAAACTTTTACTTTTGCATTGAACTTTTGTATGGTGCAACACTGCTCACAGATTTTCAGTTATAATTTTATTTATATATTTATTTTTTTGGAGCCTGGAGATGATCTGCCTCTATCAGTTTATTTATATAGATGCAAATAAGCTTTTTTTTTTTTTTTATGATTTTACTCTCAAAAATAGTTTTAAACTTGTCAATTTAAAATAATAATAATATCATTTATTTTATTTTTTTGTGCCTGGAGATGATCTGCCTCCAGTTAATTTTTGTAGATGCAAATAAGCTTACTATGATTTTTTCTTTATGATTTTACTCTCAAAAATTGTTTTAAATTTGTCAATTTTAATAATATTTATTTAGAGCATGGAGATAATCCACCTCCATCACTTTATTTCTGTAAATGCAAATAATCTGATTATGTTTCTTGATTTATTTACATTTTAGTAGTAGTAGTAACAATAATAATAATAATAATATAATATTGTAATTTATTTTGGTTTTATTTTTAAACAAAGCTGATTATGACCCTTAAAAGAAAGCATTTAGGAATTTTGGAATAAATGAAAACGTAATTTAATGCATTACTGCAGTAACATTTTCTCTTCATGATATGTTTCCTGCAGTATTTTCAGTAATAAACTCATGAAATCTTTTACTCTTTGACTATTCCAGAACAAAGACTTAAACTTTCTCAAACCCTCTATTTATTTCCTAATTTCGTTCCTTTATTTCCCTTCGTTTCCGTTACCCTCTCCTCATTGCTCTGGCTGGCTAGTCTCTCTCTGCTGTGCCGCTGGATGGGTGTGTGTGTCCCACTTTATCCGTCGCCGTCTCCTGTACGCCGCAGGTACTGAACCGCAAGAGCCTGGAGATGTCACTTTATTTCTGTAGATGCAAATAAGCTTAATGTGGGTGATTTTACTTTCAAAAATTCACTACACAAATATATTGTGGTTGCGCTAAGATCTTACATGCTATCATAACAAGGCAGAATGCAGCATCATTTGATAAATCTGTTAATCTGAGTTTAATCCTAACCGGCCACAACTTCGACAAGCATCACATAACAAAATATTTGTTTTTGGCCACTTGGTTTCTGTTTGAACTGTTTCACTAATAAACATGAAATATGTTATGATTGACTGCGATTTTGTGACTTCGAGTAGTATTTGCGTTTAATTGAGGAAATGATGCTGAAAAGCTGTCACGTCTTTCCTGTTTAGGACATGGTGTAAGATTTCAGCTGATAAATGTGCAAGGTTGTTTTCGGGTTTGGAAGTTGTCAAAAACCTAAATTAAACTGTCAAGAAAAATCTGTGATGGACATCTTTGTAAGATACACTGTTCATTATTTGTGACCCTGGACAACAAAACCAGTCATAAGGGTCAAAATTTCGAAATTAAGATTTATACACCATCTGAAACCTGAATAAACAAGCTTTCCATTGATGTATCGTTTGTTAAGATAGGACTATATTTGGCCAAGATACAACTATTTGAAAATCTGGAATCTGAGGGTGCAAAAAAATCAAATTTGCCCTTTTTATTTTTCTCCTTCCTTCGGTAGCAAGGTGAAGATTATGCCTCTCTGTCACCCTCCGGTATGTGTTTGTTTAAATCAGACTTTTTCATCCTCTTTCCTGCTGTGTTATCATTAATCTCTTTGCCCCACATCACGTTGTGACTTTTTGCTTGTCCTGCAGCCCTCCAATCCCCCACGTACCCCAGCCCCGCTGCCCCGTCCCCTTCCCGCGGCCCCAACCAGAGACCTGAGAGTTACCTGTTTCGCCTGAGTCAGCGAGAGGAGAAGAAAAAAGGTTTGTTTACCTGACACAGCCGATTGCTTCTTTGTGCGACATTTGTGATGTCATGATTAAACATATGATGCTTTATGATTAAACATATGATGCACATATTAAACATATGTGCACTGTGCAGAATGCACTATGAATGTGTGTTTGTGGATTGTATTACATATAAAATTACAGCAGAAATCAAAAAAGTTATTGTTATATTATTTGACTGCCCACTCCCACAATGAAGTGTTGTAAATAAATGGCACAAATCAATGTTGGTGTGTATATTTGAATGTTTTGTAATAAACTCCTGAAGTATTGTGTTTTATCAGTTTCTTGTAGTCAGTAGTTTTGCATTTTAATGTTTTATCATTTTTTATAGTTGTTTCCTAACCCTCAGGAAAGAATTAAGGTACAAGGTGTTTTACCGTTGCCTCCTTTATTTACAATTATTTTCATAGACTTTTGCTTTGAATCTCATGTTGTGATGATGTCATTCATCATTGGTTTGTCTTGAATTCTTAATTGAAGAATTTTCTAAAATCCTTATGGAGAAAATGTGAGAAAAACCACAGGAACCAAAGTCACTGAAAAAGTGCAGTGTTGTTACTGTTAACTAAATAATTGAAATTGATAATCGAAGTGCTCGTTGAAATTAAGCAGAACTATAAATATTAGACTTGAAAACTTGAAATAAAGTTAAAAGTACTAAAATTTCTAAAACAAACCGAAATAAATATAAATGAAAAGCTAAACAAATATTTAAAAAATAATAAAATAATAAAAATGACAAAAGCACATAAAAATAAATTAAACTAAAATTAAAACGTAATAGTGCTACTTAGTGACATGCTCCTAATGGCATGCTTGACTGTTTTGCAGGAGAATCAGGCACACAGAAGGCGGAGCCAGTGGAAGCCTCTCCCACACCGAGTCCCGCCCCAACAGGAGAAGAGGTGGTCCTGATAGAGCAGCTGAGAAGGGTGCGTCAAACTCCTTTAGTACCCTCCTCTTTCTGTTATCCATCATTTATGCATCTATTATTTCTATACATACAGTATATATACTTTTTTTTGTCATTTTATTGTACTTTTTATTATTATTATTGTCTTCAGTGTCACATGATCTTCAGAAATTATTCTAATATGCTGATTTGCTGCTCAAGAAACATTTCTGATTATTATCAATGTTGAAAACCGTTGTGCTGCCGAATATTTTTGTGGAAACCATTTTATTTTAATTTTTCTTTATTTTGTGGAAACATTAATTTTTCAGGATTCTCCGATGAATAGAAAGTTCAAAAGAACAGTATTTTTAAAAACAGAAATCTTTTGTAACATTATAAATGTCTTTAATGTCATTTTTGATCAATATAATGCATGCTTGCTGAAAAATAACATCTTTCATTATCAAAGTCAACTGAAAAGACAAAAGTCTCCTTTGATGGTTGATAAACAGCAACAGTTGCTTAGGTGGGATTGGTCAGTGACGCTCTAAGGCGGGGCTTAGTGAACAATCATTTGAGAGTGTTTATATGTGTGTTTGTGTGTGTGTAGAGAGCACATTTCCATAGCAAAAATGGAAAGCTCCATCGAAAAGCACAACGATGGCTGGATTCACCCATTCAGCCTTAAATAAGATGACAGAACAAGCTGCCTGCTCCGTGAGCGAGCCCTTTATTGTGCGTTAGTACTGCTGCACACTTTCCCAATGTTTGCCGAGGTGTATGAGTACTTTGTGAAGCTTTGAGTTTCGGAGGGTTTGCATGAATTAAACTCTCCTAGATGTTCTTGAAAGAAGGAAATGAGACAGAGTGGTGGATGCCAAACCATAAACTCCCCCTTTGTGCCTTACTGTGTGTATGTCAATGTCTTCCACCTCACGGTTAGCACAACAGTTCACCCAAAAATAAAACTTACTCACCCTTATGTCATTCCAAACCTGTACGAGTTGCTTTCTTCCATGAAACACAAAAGGAGAATTTTGGGCGTACCATCTGAGCTGCTCTTTTCCATACAGTTAAAGTGAGTATCTTGAGCAGCTTACATTTTAAGCCTGTTTTCTCAAACAGAATTATCATATGGCTTAAAAACGCTTGTAACATGCAGAAGTCATATGAACTCATTTATTTTCATTGGGCCTCATTCATGAAGATATGAGTACATTTGAAGTCATTTGTCTGTAAAATGGACCAAACACTTCATAAACCTCAGATTTGATAGTTAAACAGATGTTAATGAATTCCAGTCGTTTGTATCTAGGGCAGGGCTGTCCAAACTCGGTCCTGGAGGGCCGGTGTCCTGCAGAGTTTAGCTCCAACTTGCCTCAA